AAGCTTATGCTAACAAGCTGAGATTCCATAGATCCTAGAAATATAAGTATCATCACTGAGCGATCAGAACTCGCGACAAGGGAAGCAAATACAGACATCATGCAACGTAGCAAAACACGGAGATATGCTCACCTTTTGCTGTTATTCTAATCAAAAACTAGAAAAACGCGGCTGAAGGTTAATCCATAGGTTAATCCAATGTGTCTGTCACTTTGAAAAAAATATTGATAATCCATAATTCAATTTTTATGTCGAAAACGGANATAATTCTANGATATACTTATCGGATATGCACAAACAAGTTGTAACAAGCTGAGTTTCCACAGATTCTAGAAATATAAGTATCATCACTGAGCAATCGGAACTCGCGACAGGGGAAGCAAATACAGACATCACACAACGTAGCTTTAGGTAAAACACGGAGATATGCTCACCTTTTGCTGTTATTCTGATCAAAAACGAGAAAAACACGTCTGAAGGTTAATCCATAGGTTAATCCAATGTGTATGTCACTTTGAAAAAATTATTAATCCATAATTCAATTTTTATGTAAAAAACTGAGTCTTCATAATAGAGAGGCGAAGTCCCTCCCCTTCTGGGAGCCTCCATGGGACCCCGGAAGCGGAAAATGATACATGAGAGAGAAAAGTTATCTTTTGATCCCGTTTGAATTGTGCCACGAATGACACATGTGATGTTTGTCAATCTTAAACAATCATTTCCATGTAAAAAAAGTCACAGTTTGTCGTAAAACTGTTGAAATATAAGACAAATACGAAAAAAATATGAAAAATACGCAACTAGAAAGACTACAAATCCCAAATGCATTCTGGGTCGCGTAAGTGATGTCATAGGCGATAATGCTCCAAGACTGGTTGCGACCGTTGCGACTCGCAAAGCAAAGAAGAAGAAAAAGATCTCGCAATTAAAGCAAAGAAGAAGAAGAAGAAAACTGATTCCCTCCAATACATATAAGAGATTGCTCCAATAAATTCACTTTTACAAGATGCCTGTGTGCTTTGTACCAGGTTGTAATCACAAAAGTGATCATACCACTTGCTCGTTCTATCGCTTCCCGTCTGATGAAAGGACCAGGAGTCGTTGGACCAAACATATCAGGTAATATACAGTACATGTTTTTCATGGAACATAGTCAAATTAGCTACCTAGCTAGTAGCGAGCATGTTAGTTAGCATTACATTACATTACTTAGCCTTGTCATTTGTATTAGCCTTAACATGAAGTAAACCAAAATGTTAAACAGTAAGAGTAGTCATGATGGTAAGTATTTTGTGAAACATTTGAAGAGTACCCTATCGCCCCCTCCACCAGGTGCTAAGGAGGCGGGAGGTAGGCTAACGCCACATTAGCATAAGCGATCTTTTCTACTTAATGCTATCTGCACAAATGGTTAACATTGAACATTAAAAGATCAGGCAGTTCAGGGAGAGTCGAAGGAAGGAAGGCAGGCAGCTTTGCATGACATTCTTCTGGACGTGTTTCATTGTGATGATAGTGAGAGTGAGTCAATCTGTTTGTTGGAAAGACAGTAGTTGAGTGATTACTGAGAGAAAATTATTAAAAGAGATAATTATTCAGAGTGTGGTTACTGACCTTTTTCTCTTTTATTTTCTTTACCTCACCTGTAACTGCTGAGACCCTGAGGAACATGCACACTGATAAAAGAGAAAAAGGTCAGTAACCACACTCTGAATAATTATCTCTTTTANGCCCTCGAAAGGGTTTTGGAGGTTGATCCCTCGGTGAACGGGAGTTGAATGGCTTTCTTGTCCGCAGCAGCAGAAAGCATTTTCGAATGTTTGAATGAATCAAACCGTCGATTTTCTCTTATGCTCCAACACACAGTTGCACGGGGTGCAGAATAGTTTCCCCCCACTTTTTGCCCGGTCTTTAGTAGAAATGTTCGTTGGTAAATGAGCTCTATACAGTGTTGTTTACATTCTGTGATGCGCGAGCTGATGACGTCACGTCAAGACGAGTTAACTTTTTTTTCTTCTCAACTTTGTGTGGAAAAATGCGGGGATTATGCGGCCTTTTGATAAATATGCGGCTTTTAAAAAATCTGCGCCATTTTGCTGATTATGCGGTAAATTCTGCGATCGCAGAATCGCGTTTTTCTGGAGGATCTAATTAGAGCAATAGCCTGTTTTTGGAGCTTCTTCTGCTACTATACCACAATAATCTTTTGGTTGAAACACCAAGTGTCTGCCACCCACTCTAAAGGCCCGGACACACCAGGCCGATTATCCGCGTCTGTGGGCGTCAGGCCGACGGTGAGTGTCGACACGCCCTACTCAAATTGGTGTGTCCTGCACCGTCGAGTCTTTTCAGCCGTGCCGACGCGGCCAAAGGCAGTCGGCAAAAGAAATCAGTCTGATTGGCTGTTCAGCTAGCGAATCAGTGCATGAGAAGCGAAACGGAAGTGAGGGACCCAAACAAACTATTAAGAAGGCAAATCTGAGATTTCATTGTACTCCAGCTCTCGACACAGGTTCTGGAAAGCCCCATGAGCTTCTCGTTGTAGAGTGAAAATGGAACGCACACGCTATTTGTTGTTTGTTTGTATCACGCAGTCTGTTCTTCTTCTCTCGGTTATCACGCAGTCTGTTCTTCTTCTCTCGGTTATCACGCAGTCTGTCTTCCGGTTGTTACCTCTTTTGAAGGACGAATACACACTACCGCCGCCTGCTGGTAAGGGGAGTTATTGCCACTCACGCATGTGCAGTTCGTACGTGCTTCTTGGCCGTAGGCTGAAGTCTTTGCAGTGTGTTCCAGTGCGACACATGGCCAAGACGCAGGAGACGTGAGGTGACACAACAGTCGGGGTCCGTCTGTGTCAGTTCTTTGTTGCCAGATTGGTGTGTCCGGGCCTTAAGGTTATTCCAGAACGCTACTGAATTACCCTGACAGGGTCAAACCTTGTACTGTGGTGCAACCATTATGCACATGGACCATAACACGCCACAAACAGAAATATGTGTTAAGGCAGCCTGCACTCTGGTCATTTAGGGTTCTGGTAACACATGTACACTAAAACAAACACACACACATTTGAATGTTTTTCGAACCAATATGCTAACCCTCTGCAGTTCAACAGTCCTCTCAGCTATCTGGCTCTCAGCTCTCATCATTTCTGCTTATTGATTGACACTGGCTTTTATTACTCTCCCTCTAGTACTAGACTCCTGGCACTAGGATGGGTTAAAAGCAGAGAACAAATTTCACTGTGTGTGCTGTGTGCTCTGCATGTGTGACCATTAAAGAGGGTTTCATCCCTCCCCAATTCTATTCTATTCTATTCATCTGTTTATCCTCTTGATTGTCCTCTTGGTCTCTGAAGAGGGCACTGAACTCTGCGTCTGTTGTCCATGGACACGGTTTGTTATCCCATAGAGTCTATTGTAAGGCGACCCTCCTCGGTCAATGGCCCCCTTGAGTCAATGGCCCTCCTCGACTAGCTTAAACAATCAGCACGCACTCAATAGCCCAGCCATTAAGATGTGCAATGGCAATAACAGGCTGAGTGAAGATACTCCATACTGTTTAGGAAGTAGGAGGAGATCGAACGAGAGAAGAGAGAAAGGAGAAGCTGAAATGTATGGCCTGTTTTGGGGCTTCTGGATGGGTCATGAGAGGATCATTGTGGTGTTTGCTCGTTGAAAAGCTTTTTGCATCATCAGGGAGGGAGGATGAAATTGGAAAAGCAAAGGTGGGGGGATGATAGATAAGAGGAGAGAGAGTTATAAAAACAAGAGGGCAGGAGGGTTGTTTTTTAATGGACAAAGGAACGACACTGAACCTTGCAGGAATGCTATCTTGGGTGTTGTGCACCACACAGGTTTTACACCTGGCTGCAGTAATCCAATTGACCTGACTTGTTTGTTGGTTGGTCTGTTAATGTTTTACCAATGAGATGACAGCTGTTATGTGACAGCGACCTGGGAAAGTGAGGCAGTTTTTCCGATAAGACATGAACCACCAATCATATTGAGATTTTATTGAGTTTTCATGCACCTTAGCACTTCTTGGTCATTGGGTTTTGACCCCTGTTGTGGTCGCGCAGCTTGTTTTATCCATATGCTTTCCTTGTCCCTGCTGCTTATTGGTGACATAAACCTAAACTTTATCACTGCACTTTGCTCTAAGCCCCAATTTGCACAGATGCTGAAACGCGAAAAGTATGCGCTTAGAGGGACAAAAGCAAATAAAGGGATATTCAATTTTAAATGAAAAGTGAAAACGTGCACAAAATAAGCCATCAGATTCTGATCCCAATGCATTCAGCAAACATTTAAACGTAATATTGCCAAGCATTTCCCTCCATATAAGTAAGGAATGGATGTCTGGTTCCATTAAGACCTAATCAAATGACCTGGGCTCATTTCTATGAAGAGAATAAGCAGTAGGATTTTAGCAATGTTTAGAAGCTGTATTAGATATGGTCTACCAAAATGAAGAGACTGATTTTGAAGCTCTCACCTCAATGCCTATGCACTGCTCTCTATTTACAGACACCTATCAGAGAAATGCATTTTTTTTTAAAAACAGTTTTATATATTTTTATAAGTAAATACGCTATATTAAGGCAGCCTCACAACCCAGCTAAGCAGCAGGTGCCCCGAGGCTGTCAGAAAGTAAAAGGTCATACCATTTATTTGCAGTTCAGACGGTTACAGAAACATTTGTGAACTACGGTGTTGAGTTGTAGCAACATCCAGGTCAAAGGTTAAGAATCAGAATGTAATTGTCAAGTTGTGACTTGATAGGAAAGCCCAGATACCGAATGTGAAGGGTCAACATTGGACCATTTATCCAAGGTATTACATCTGAATCAACAGTGACCTTTAGTATCTCAAGTGTGTGGGAAAAAAATAGCACTTGTTTACACGTACATGAAAAACTGAGCCTCCGCCGCTGACTTAGGAAACCTCAAAGAAAAAGAAAGGAAAAAGTGACAACCAACAAGGCTAACCTTCATCTGCTTGTGATAATGTTTGTTATCTATAAAAACCTGTATATGGATATGGATTTTTGAGCCATCAACAACAGTCCTCGGGGTGAGTATGTGGAATGGGGTTTCAATAACATAGCCATGAGACTCAAGAAGAACTTGTCATTTCTGAGTCAATAATGTATACTTAGACTTAAGGGTGAAATAAGGTTAACTTCCCATCTCTCATCGGCTACGTCATGTCCAGACTCGGCAGAATCGATGGCAAAATAACTTTGGATTTGGCCTTTACAAAATGTTACATAAATGTAAATGTCAATCCGTACAATTAGGTTTGGGCCCAATGGCATAAGGTGACTGTTACATAAACACTGTTTGGCCACTAGAGATTTCAATTTTATTCAAGGCCCAACACACCAAGCCACCACCAGGCTGGACTGCTCTGTTTATCTCCACTACTTCCTGTTACCGTATACTTTTAATTTATTTTATATTTAACAGCATTTCAAATATCCTTTGCCACTCTTTTGATTAATCTCATATTGTCCCCCCTCTCTCCCTGCAATGCGTCCTTCTTTTGTTCTTGTGCTGAAACTTTCATTATATCACTGTTAGATTATTCAAACACCAGGATACATGCACACAGATGTTTTTACGAAAGCCTTTTCTTGATCCTTGTAGTTTTAGATATGTATCCGTGTTCCTAGATGTTAGACTGTTTAAAGGGAACATATTCATTCTTTTCCAGGAACTCTTTCCATTTAGTTCAATTAGGTTTGTTGAAGGCGAAGGGAGAATTATAATCTCAAAACAATTATATTCAGCTCTCAAAACACAAATTATTTTAAAGCTGTAATAGTGTAATTTCATACACTCCAAATGCATTATTAATATTTCCTTTCTCCAATCAACTAGAGATCCAGATGTAAGCACACTCTGCTATATCCACCTAAAAAAAAGCATATTTTCTTTTTCTCATCTAAACTTTTTACTTTGTTTGGCAGTTCATTATAATTATTATATGTCGGTGTGCCTTAATGTATTTCCACGCGAGCCCACTTTAGAATTGTATAGGCAAATGCAAGCACACTCCCAGGAACAATATCTAAACACAGCTAATTGCACTAAAAACACACATAACGCATTTAAGCAGTGTGAGAATACAATAGAGATGGCTAATGTGGTCATCTGTTTCACTGGATAGTAAAATTATATCATAAAGCTAGGATAAAATGCTGGGTTGGTGCAGCACTGTTTGCTTCTGTTGCATTTCTGAGGGAACAAACTGTACACTAAGTATCCTTTTTACGGCCCCACATGCTGACGTGACCTTGTTCTTGGTAGTGGTGGTGGTGGTGGTGTGTGTGTGTGTGTGTGTGTGTGTGTGTGTGTGTGTGTGTGTGTGTGTGTGTGTGTGTGTGTGTGTGTGTGTGTGTGTGTGTGTGTGTGTGTGTGTGTGTGTGTGTGCGCAGTGGTGGATGCATGCATCTATATGCTTAATGATGAATGAGAGAGGTAGGCTTTAGCTCAGAGCTGCGGCTCAATTTAAAGACCTGCAGTTGTCTCACAGTAGTGAGCCAATTTCAGATGCATCGAGGGGGAAAGGCAGAGTAGACGCTCTACATATAGTCCTTCTTAAACCTCTAATATACTGTTTTATAATTGTACTTGTTGAAATAATAGTTCTTAAGACTTTAGTTCTAGTTG